AAACAAAAAGGCAAATGTGGCATGTGTCTAACAAATCTTTCTCTTTAAATTGGGTAGTAAAAGCAGAACTTTCAGATGGGCAAAATTACAATCCTTCCCCATGAAAACTGGAGAGACAGGAAATGATGCAAAAACAATGCAGAAATATTTGACTGGTATTCACATTCTAGCTTGTACACAATTTCCAATTCACTTGCCTAGACAGTTAGCCATCAGTCTGGATGTAAAGAATTTAAGCCCAACCAAGAAACAGGAAGCATCAGTTCTGACACATGTGTGTTTATTTTGGTGGCTCACATCTGCAGATTTTCCCCCTCGATGTATCCTTTCAGAGCCAAAATGAGGGAGGGAACAAAGTTATTGGGCCTATATCCATCACTGTGATTATGATAAACTGAACCACCCACTGCATCTTTAGAAGGAAGTTATTAGTTTTACAATGAAGAACTCCAACCCATATGGAGGCAAAGTCTAGGAGTAAAGGAAGTCTATTCAATATGATTGACTTTATTCAGTATGCCCAATGGCATCCCAAAACTGAACTAGTCACATTCAGTTTAGAAACAGCTTATCTAAATGGATGTGTTCAGACTGATGTTCAAAGGCATTTGGTATGCTTTTGGGAGTCAAACATCAGCAAAGGATCTTCCGGACTTTATCTTGTGCTGATGATGAAATTACTTCCAAATAATCAGAACCTTGGATAAATAGTGAGTAACACAGTGGTGGAGGTCAAAAGTGCCATTACCAAATCTACACACCTAAGGGTATACATTAGGCTTGACAACTATACGGCATGAACCCAAAGCCTTTGAAAAATCTCCCACATACATTGAATTCTTGTGGTCTTGAACAGGAGTTGAAACAAACCCTGGCCCACTGGTTAAATCTTACTGACCACCTCTTACTGTAAATAAAGTTTTACTGGGACACAGCCATGACCACTCATTAATGTACTGCTTTGTACTGCAATAAAAGAGTTAAGTAGTTGTGGCAGAGATCACATGGCCTACAAAGCCTAAAATATTATCTTGCTCTTTACATAAAAAGTTTCCAGATCCCTGGTATAGAATGGTGGGTTATTTGCCAATCCTTGCTCTAAAAAACCAGCTTCTGGATCAAAATTATTTTGTCTTGATTCTATACTTCTTTACTTAAAAGACCCTAGCACTTAAGGCTTTGGGTTGGCCCAAAGACAACCCAACCCTCCACTTGGAAACACTATAGGAATGGGTCCAAATGGCAACCCTACAGATCTGAACAGATGCCTTTTTTTCTTCTGCCCATGAGACAGATGGTCCTCAGAGAGGGGAGAATAATTCGTCCATGAGAGAGAATTCTCTGTGCAGCACTAATTTTGGAAATTTATCCCTGATCCATCTGGCCAAAAAGGATTCCTTAGGAGTACCTTTGCTATTTGAATTTGCTTAACATTCAGGAGGGGAATCCTAAGTACCAAGGCTAGAATATCAGGTATTTTCTCTCTAAATGTCAGTAAAGCTTTCCAAGTCTGCCCTTGAGATAAGAAAACTCAAATACTTGTAAGAACAAAGGGTGATTATAAGGATGAAGAACAGCTAACCACTCATTTAAGGGCCCCATTGCAAAGAATTTGTTCATTTCTCTGACAGTAAGTAACCCTTCTGGGTAAGGAAAATAACAACCAGACATTTTTGCCATGTGCAGAAAGTAGGAGGAGCAATATTTACTCTCTGACCCTAGATGCAACCTTCACCTTCTCATTAAGCACTCTAACCTGTCTTTGATTTTCTGACTTTGTTGTACCAAGGAGCTTTTCTCCCTGGATAAAACCCATACATTTTCAAAGTTCATTAACTCAGATACGATGTTTTTTCCTCGCTTCATTCCTAACCCTGCTTCAGAGCTGAGTATTTGTTGGGTATGTTCCGTCCAGAAATAAGGGAGAGACAGTGGAAGAGCATTTGACTGCAGAAATAAGGGAAAGACAAAATTTAGAAGTGACAAGGAAAATTAGGCAACTGGAAATAGGAGCCCCACAGAAAGTAATTGTGTAGGGATTCTTTCCTTTCAGTTTCAGTTGACAGGCTTCTGAAGTCTGATGGTCTTGAGTTCGAGTCCCACTTCTACCACTTACTACCGAGGTAATCTTAAGGTCCTCAACTATGAACAAAATAACCTACTTTCCTGTGCAGTTATCAAAACAACTGAATAAAAATGCATATAAATCACTTAACAGTGCTTGGTTAGCAATAAGTCCTTATTATGTTTTTAAGTCCTTAATATGTATTTAACAATCTTTACGGAGCAAAGTTCCTGCTAAGAGCATAACTGCTGTCAGAAACAGAACAAAAGTAGACTAGGGAAAAGAATCACAAGGGAAAGCCATCTTTCTTGACTTTCTTCTAAGTCATACTTGGAGACAAAGGAAAATTCTTAGTAGAAAAAAGGTCATTAAATTCAATATCCACCATTCCTATCATTAGGAACATTAGAAATATCATTAGGAACAATAACAACAACTACTTTCAGAGTGCTTTTGGCCCCAAAACCATCTGTGGAGTTACTTGTGAGCCTGCTACGCCATCCAACATTGCCTTAGTCATAACATCAAGGGACAGAAGATGCAGCCTCAAATAACTGGAGGTCCCTGTAGATGATGCTATGCCACATCCGTCAATCAAGAAATAGTTACATGCCCAGCATTATTTAGGCAGAGTAGATTATGGAAGAAAAGAGTTCCTTCTACAAAGAAAATAGCTATAACATTAGGAAAATAATATCACTGACCCTGGTGTGGTAAAAGCACTTAGCTTAAATTTAGTCTTACGGGATTTTCTTTAAGAAGCTACTATTTGTTTACAAAATTGTAACACCTTCCATGGGAGATCCCTAGATTCGTGCACAAAACATAGGAACAGAGACAATGAAATAATAATAAACCAAGAAGCAAGAGTAGATTTTCAAGAAAACCAGGCTGGAGACAAAAATGACAAAGGACTTTATAAATGAAAATCAATACCTGAATTGTATCTGGAAGCAAATGGGCAGCCAGGACAGACGACAGAACACAGCTGCAGTGACTTCTAGCTGCTGTTAATCTTAAAGAGCTCACCTCTGGGGCAACTCCCTGAAAGCAAAGCAACATAATCCAGCTCCTCTCGCCAGATGCTGCTCTTTCTCCAAACTCCATGGGTTTAGGTTACATTTAAGCTCGCTTTCACCCATGTTGCGAGCTAATTACAAAGAATCCACAAATGTGGGAATGAACTGGGAATACCGCAGGCTGCTGTAACAAACCTTAGCACCATCTGCTGAAATATTAAGATGCTTGTTTTAAAAGTTGACTGCCAGAGAAGCGGGTCACAGCACTGGCAGTGGGGAAGTTCTCTTTAATAATTACTTTTTACTTCTCTTTCCAGCACATAAACAGTGGAGCACTGAGCACTGAACCAAAGGTGAACAGTCCAGAGATAAAAGACCACCTTTGCTTACCTTCTTCTCCTGCTCCAGGTGCCAACAGGAAGAGAGCCTAGAGAGCCTTGGTCATCAAAGGACAAGAGAGATGGTCAAAAGATTGTGGCATATTTGTGTGTTTCAGTGAACAACAACAGTTATTTGGGAAAATACATAGGAATGTCACTAAAATTCCTTTCTTTTTTATAATGATTTGGCAGAGAAACAATCAAAGTATACCTGTACTGATGGAAGACGTCATGTAAATATGGTTTCATCCAGGTGTGATCATCCCTTGGACGCTCATGGAATTTAAGGTTCTCTTTGCATACTAGATGTTTCTCTCTCACAGAACAGTCAAAAACAGCCTCAGGTTTGTGAACAAAGAGCAGGCTGACAGAGTTTCAAGGGGCTTAGGGAAGGGAAAGGAAAGTCTTATCTGATTTAATGTCACTGTTCACACAATCATACACAATCATACCGGTGGACAAGAAGTAGACAACAACAGCTCTGGTCGTTCGTACTCTCTCAGCAAAGGGAAGAACATCCATCAGTCTCCAGGTGATAAGGACAGCAACCACAGTAAGTAACGGCAGCCACCATCTCTTGAGCACACACACCATGTATGAGGCATTACGCGATGGGCTCCACCTGCTACACATTAATCCTTCCAACACTCTGAGGCAGGTACCGTTTTCTCATTTTATAGGGAAAGGAAACAGATGCTTACAGAGGGTAACAACCTTACGCAAGAGTTCATCAACCTGGAATGGGCAGAACTGGCACAGAAGCCAAGCAATCTGACTGCCCGCACAAGCACTGTGCTCTAGCACCCGCAGACATGCTGTCAGCAGGCCCGCTTACATAAGGGAGGGTCATCATAAAGTACACACAGCAACGAGGAAGACAGACTCTATAAGAGTTGAGCCACATGCTTCACAGAGACAAAAAATGGAGCCAAAGTGACTAGAGGGGCGCCAAGCCACCCATGTTCAAGACCCTTCATTCTTGTGACCACCAGCTACTCTGCCTGTCTGCTTCTCTATACTCCACCAACTGGCTTCCACTCTGTAACTGCCAAGTCATTCACTGGCTAGACTACACATACTAGCCATTCTTGAGTCAAATACCAAGGGTCCACTTAACAGAGGTCAGGTACAAAAGCCTGGGCCATGAGGGCTGCAACTTCACACGAGTTACTGGAGAGGCAGACAAGCATGAAAGGAGCTAGGAGCACAGCAGACCCCAGGCTGCTCACGTAGTACTGAAAACAACTCTCTAATCCTACTTGGATCCTGACTCAACATTTTTGGCATATACAGGGATTATTTATACCCAAAAAGGCACACAGGATTATTTCCCAGTCTCAGTAGTTTCCGTGTAGTGAATATCTAGATGAAAAAATGGGTATGTAAAGATCTCCTACTAATAAGTGTGAAGAGTACCAACGAAACAGACTAGTAGCTTGTGAAAGCTTTTCCTCTCCCTTCTTCACTTTGTGTTTGTTTCAATGTCCTATTTATCAGAATTAAAGGTGCACAGGTTCTGATTTCCACTTACCAGGAGGCTGGTCATTTTTCTTCATTATGTGGAGGGGTGGCTCCGAGTTTAGCTCAACCATCTGTCGTCCCTCACAAGCCTGAGGGAATCACAGCAGGACCAGGAGAGTTTGCCAACCCTCTCGAGCAGGCTCTCAGGGCAGGGTCGTCAAGTCACTTCCCAAGCCTGTGTTGACCAGACAGGAAGAACACATGACTATATATAAAGCCAGACATGTGGGCCTGATAGGCCGTAACAAAAGCGAAGTAACCCTGTGGGAGGAAAAAAACCCATCCCCCCAACATTCACTGTCAAAGTCTCAAGTGCTCAAACGGGACACTACCTTCAACTCCAAATGTCTCTAAAGCCAAGAGGCCAAAAATGGTCTCAAGGTAAGTAAGACGTTTTATGTAGACAAAAATTAATGAGGCAAACATTCAGCTGCAACATAAGCCAAAAGATAAACAAACCTCTACAATAAGTGTAAATAATCCACTGGGAAGAATGCTTCACTTTTAAAGAGGCAGGGCATTTTAAAACGTTTTCCTAAGAAAGCTAAATTCTAAAGACACGGGTATTAAGTGTTATTAGATTAGATCCCCAACTACTAATGCATTTCAATTTTACAAGCCTTTCTCCATGAGATGTTTACAATTCTCAACTATTCTGCTAACAACTTTTCCAGCCTCTTTTAAATACACTTGTAACAAACTGTTAGACTAAGCATGGGAAACCTATCCAGGTTTGGAATCAACAATGGTGAGTGTTTGCTCAGAGACTCTGCCATTTACCAACCTTGTTCAATTCAGCCAGTCCTTCCTCCACCTGGCTGAGTTTTAGACTGGTTTTGTTGGTGTTTTGTTTGTTTAAGATTTTATTTATTCATTTTGAGAGAGAATGCACACACATGGGGGGAGGAACAGGGGAAGGAGGGAGAGAGAGAATCTCAAGCAGACTCTGCACTGAGTGTGGAGCCCTAGGTGGGCTCTCATGACCCTGAGATCTCAACCCAAGCCTGAAATCAAAAGTCAGACGCTTAACCAACTGAGCCAGCCAGGCGCCCCCCTGGTTGAGTTTTAGGTTCTTACCTATCCAGCCCAATCCCATCTGTAAAAGAGCACATTAGCATCTACCCTATCTATTTCACAAGATTATGAATACTTTTAAAACTTTAAAACTTTGAGGTAGGCATGAGGCATTTTCATTTCTAATGGCCGCATGGGCTCATGTCTTTTTTACCTAGCTTTCCACAAAATATGGCACATGTTGAGAGTAGGTTCCAGACCCCATGTTCAAATCCAAATTTAAAATCTCAGCTCTGCCAATAAATCTTGGGGATTTATTTAAGGCCATGTTTCCTCAGCTGTTAAGAATGGAATGCACAAAAGTTAGTGTATGGAATTGTGCAGTACCTCACACAGCACTCAGCTAATGGGATACTCGATGAAGCACTGGTTTTCTTATTCTAATCCCATGGTCCCTTCCACCTAAAACTTCCTGAGCTACCTGATGGTTCTGTGATACCACAATTTCTTGCAATATAGTAAGTGTGTATGCATATATATATATGTATGTATGTATGTATGTATGTATGTATGTATATATATATATATATATATATATATATATATCTCTATCATGCCCAAAATGAACACTAAGCCTTCTTCCTAGGGCACATTCTCCAGAAAATAACCTTCCAACTTTCAGCTCTATTCCAAAAGCAGAAAAAGTCAAAACAAAAGAAACTGCCAGAGAGCATGAATTTTAAAATCCTGATAACTGGCACAGAAGAAACTTCTACTCTCAGCAGTCACTTTATCAACTGATGAATGAGTTGCCTTTTATTATTATAGGAGGATGTTGAAAATTAAAGGCAAGGAGCAAGCTTCACCACCAAATTTAAAACGCAAAGTTTGCTGAGTTATCACACCCACAAGTAGCGAAGCAACTTTTTTCTTTTATTAGGACGTATCGAATACTTAAGGCCAACAAAAAAGATTAACAATGGTTTAAATATTGCAGGGAAAAAATGCTCTAGAAAAGTTTACTTGGAGGGGTTGGAGTGTGAATGTACCAGACCCAATGTTTTTTAAAAATTTCAGGATACAAACAAGAATATATTTAAACTCTAAGAGTTTTCATTTTGAGGTGAATATAAACATAGTTATGGAAAGGCATCCAACATCTACCTCCCTGCAAATGTAGCAGTCATACAAGGGTGGGGCTCCCTACTTCCTGACCACACTGATCAACAGAATCATTTATAAGCCTTAAAGGTACCTATGCTCTCAATGGATAAACACAGAGAAACACCTTGAGCCAAAGTAGTAAGCAGCCAACCCTCCATACACAAAACTGCCTTAAATTGATTTAAAAAGGAAAGATTGGCTGGCCAAGTAGGCTGCTGAGTTCTGATCACTGTTTGTGGTACTTGGCAAGGGTAGCGATGAGAAATTATGAAGAGTTCTTAGAAGGAAGTGGAATCTTAGAAAAGCTGAGATACACAATTCTTCCTTTTTGAGAATAAAGAGGGCAATGCTTCCGGCCAACCCATTCAGAGGCTTCCTGGAAACCGTTCAATTATTATTTCCCTGTTCTATTTATCCTTACATATGTATTTATCTATATAAATGTATCTTCCCTTCTCATAGTGACGACAAAACACTTTCCCATCAACCTCAGTCCTTCTCAGGATAACTTTTCAGTAAGTAAGGGTAAAACTGTTGTGGATTCCACCTTCAGCCCTTGGTAAAAAGTACCCAGAGAACTGGCTACACAGGTTCTTAACTTCATGGAGTTCAGCCAACCAAATGAGGGAATAACCCAACCCCAGAGGCCATCCAAACACTGCTGCAAGGTATGCAGAGACAGGACAACTTCCAATGCATGCATTCCAGACATACTGAATCAATCTCTGAGCCCAGGATTCTGTTTTAAGAAGCTCTCTGGGTCCATCTTAAGCACATTCAAATTTGAGAAACACTGCCTGAGAGCACGGATTCTCAAATTTTAATGTGCATATGCATCAACCTGGTAATTCCATAAAAATGCAGATCATGGTTCAGTAGGTTGGAGGACAGAGACCCAGTGAGTCTGCATTTCTAACAAGTTCCCAGGTGGTATCAGTGCTGCTGATCCATGGACAATATTTAGAATAGCAAGACCTTAGAGAACAGAGTCCAACAACACTCTTGTTCTATGTACTATAATAATTTATTAGCAATCTAATCTGGGAACCAAAATTACGTGATGTTGAAGGTTGGAAGGGTGGTAATGGTAAGTAATGAGACCCAGCCTAAGATACTGTGCAGTTTAGAAAAAATCATACCTTCCATTTCTATGCACTTCAATTTAGATAGTGAGTGCTACTGCAAAATGTATTTCCAAGTATCATTTCACCTGATCCTGCTCAATTTCTAAATAACAGCCTGGTACTTGGAGGCCTGCAATTCTAATCACACAGCAAGTGCTCAACATTCGTCAAGCCAATCGCTTCTCTTCTACCCAAGCTGCTCACCAGCCAAATGAAGGCATTTAGTCCAATTAATCCACAGGCTTAGGTACTCCTTACAGGTGCTAGAGTGTGCACGACCATCAGGAAACATTAAAAACAGAAACAGCCACAACTTGTACCGTCATAATTTTCTACACACAGAAAGCAGTAGGGTAACTGTGTATGTTACCACCTAAAGAACAAACGTTCTCTCGTCTCTGGAGGCAGAAAAATAAAGACTTTAATCTGAACTAGGTTCCATTACAGCCTGAGAGCTTTCTGATTTCTTGGAGGTGCAGGTACCACAAGACACAAAGGAAATAATCTGAGTCCCAGTCCCCAAATGCATTCTCTGGGCATACTTTAGTTACCAAATACATAATTGACCATTGACCTATCTGGACACGGAGAACTCTCTTTTCCATTTAATTTAGCAATGATAAAAGAAGCTAAAACACCCCCTCCCCATCAGGGGTTCCTTTGTCTCTTCAACCCTTGGGTTTTCCTATCTGTAATAGAAGGATGATATGATGCACCTTTCAGAATTACCATGAAAACTAGCAACAACTCATTTGAAATGCCCAGACTCCTGACTGGGTCATGGTTGACATTCAACAGAAGAAAGTCATTATAACAACATAGTTTTATATGATGAGAGTCTGAGATGATTTAAAGAGATATTTGTTCAAATATATGCCAGAACTCCACACAGAATGTTATGGATGGGGTATTTGTACCCGCCTCCCCCTCCCCACAATGCACATGTAGAAATGGAATCCCCAGTGTGATGGCATGTGGAGTGGAGCCTTCGGGAGATAATGAGGTCATGAGAGTAGACTCTAATGAAAGGGATTAGTGTCCTCCTGCAAAGAGGCCAGAGAATTGGCTTGCTCTCTTTTCACTATGTGAGATCACAACAAAAAGTTGGCAGCCTGCAACCTGAAGGAAGACCCTCACCAGAACCTGGGCAGGCGGGAACCCTGATCTCAGATGTACAGCCACCATCACTGTGAGGAATATCCTCCTGCTGTTTAGGAACCTACCCGTCTCTAATGTTGTATTTTAGCAGCCTGAATAAAGATACTGCACGTAACATCCTGAGATTCTGGCATGACTCTCTCAGGATTTAGATGTAGTCAAGAAATAACATTAGTCAAGCTATAAACTCTAAGCAGGGAATATTCTATTACCTAGAGTAAATTCAAAGAGGCCATGTTACTCTTCTGGCTATTAATACCATATTATTTCCATAAAAAAGGGAAGAACCATGAAATCTCGTGTTTATAAATGTACACCAACAACAGGTCACCTGGGACCCCTGAGAAACTAGGCCAAAGACATTTCAACTTCTCTTTACGTTTCTGTCTCATTCTCACTGATACACATGCTATATAGACATAGAACCAGATTATACATTGTCCAAGAGAAAAGACATTAACTGTTCATATCCCTAACATTCACATTTAGAAGACCTTTCTACTCAAGAACAGAAACAGAATGCGTATCAGAAGTCCCTGGGTGGGCAGACTTGTACTTCCTCCTGGAGCACCGTAATCCCTTCCCCATACTTTCCCTGGGGTCATCATTTTACAATTTAGTTATTATTTCTGACCCTGACTCGCCCTCAAAACAAGCAAGCAAACCTGAAATGTTTAAGAAACACAGATACTAGGGGCTCCTGGGTGGCTCAGTGGGTTAAAGCCTCTGCCTTTGGCTCAGGTCATGATCCCAGGGTCCTGGGATCGAGCCCCACATCGGCGGGCGGGGGGGGGGTGGTCTCTGCTCAGCGGGGAACCCGCTTCCCTCTCTCTCTGCCTGCCTCTCTGGCTACTTGTGATCTCGCTCGGTCAAATAAATAAATAAATTCTTTAAAAAAGAAACAAACAAACAAACACAGATACTACAAGCATTAATTTCCTGACAGAGAAAATACATTTAAGAATATACTGGGTCTAGGGACGCCTAGGTGGCTCAGTCCGTTAATCATTGTCTGCCTTTGGCTCACGTCATGATCTCCAGGTCCTGGGATTAAGCCCTGCATCAGGTTCTCTGCTCAGCAAGGAGTCTGCTTCTCCTTCTCATTCTCCATCTGTGTGCACGCACGCGCTCGCTCTCTCAAATAAATTTTTTAAGAATCTTAAAAAAAAAAAAAAAAGAATAAACTAGGTCTCATACCAACTCAAATTCGGAACAGACAGCAGCTCCTCAAACTTCATCCTTCCCTTTTATGTATTCTACAAGTAGGCTGAATGCTCACAATGTGCAAGGTGCTATAGTGGACACAGAGGAAAAGGAACACCAAGCTGAATCATAGAACATCCTACTCTGGGGAATTCCCCATTCTAGAAAGTGAGCTAAAACATGAACAAACATATCTATGTATTACGGACTTTGCAAACAAACACACACATACTCCAAAACACCCCAGCAGGACTCTTTTCCAAGAGGAGATGTATTTGCAGCAGTAAACCCAAACCACCTCATTTTAGGGTAAAACCAAATACCTAACAACATGGCTGCCCACTATTAACCATGACAATATCAAGTGTTGCTTGAAGTCAGATACGAAGCTGAAGCGCTTGGGTGACTTACTAACTGTAGTCCTAGACAAGTTTCTGTACTTCTTCAAATCTCATTTTATTGCTCTGATAAATAGGGATTATTACAGTACCTCCTTGTGATTTTAAGATTGATACATATACTGTATATAAAGTGTTTAGCATGGTGCTTGACCCAAATACATAGTCAAATATAAGTTTTCTAGGTGAAAAATGAGGTAGGGGGGTGCCTGGGTGGCTCAGTGGTTTAAAGCCTCTGCCTTCAGCTCAGGTCATGATCCCAGGGTCCTGGGATCGAGCCCCGCATGGGGCTCTCTGCTCGGTGGGGAGCCTGCTTCCTCCTCTCTCTGCCTGCTTCTCTGCCTACTTGTGATCTCTGTCTGTCAAATGAATAAATAAAATCTTAAAAAAAAAAAATGAGGTAGGAACAGATAACAACAGGCTTCCTGGAACCTGAAAAGACTACAACAGAAAAGGAAGAAGAAAGAGACAGAATAGGAACACCCTGTATTCCTAAATCCTTTAAAGCCCATTAACCATTATACCAAGATGTCTCTACCTTGGCTGAAAAACCTCCCTGCACTATGAAGCCCATCTAGAATTTATCATAGGGCCAGAGAACAAGAATCTGGGGGTGAGCCTCAATATTAATGCTCCTAAGTTTCAAAAATGAGTGTCAAGCTCAAAAGTGATCATGAGAACCACCGTGGAAGATAAAATATTTGAGAAGTGCTGTAATATTTGAGACATGTTTCAGCTAAGATCTGATGCTTTACTTTGAGGCTAATATACCTAGCTGCCTACTCTTCACAATCTCAGGATCTCTGTATTAAATTATCAAGCAGTCTTCCTAATGAGGTTTTCACTGATTCATCAGTACGACCTCACCTCCCCGGAGCATTCATTGCAACAAAAAGGACAGCATCACACTGAGGTGCCTTCACTCCTCCATTCAGGTATTCTGGCCAACCCATCTAGCCACGTTTCCACATCCCTCTTATCTCACTTAACAGCATCTCTGTTGAGTCTTTCCTTTATCCAAGATAATGCTGCCACACTGCCTTCAAATGTATTCATAATCAAATCTGAGTATTTAAAAAAACCTTGTCCAATAAACATACTTTAATCCTAGTAGTTATATTGCCCTCTAATATACTGGTTAGGTTTCCAAAAGGTTTAACAACGTGAGAAATGGTCTCAAAAAGTCTGTAGAAACAAGAAAGCCATCAATAATTCATATTACAGGGGCGCCTCGGTGGCTCAGCGGGTTAAAGCCTCTGCCTTCAGCTCAGGTCATGATCCCAGGGTCCTGGGATCGAGCCCCACATCGGGCTCTCTGCTCACATCTCTCTCTCCTCTCTCCCTCTCTGCCTGTCTCTCTGCCTACTTGCAATCTCTGTCAAATAAATATATAAAATCTTTAAAAAAAAATTAAAAAAATTCATATTACAGTTATTTACTCTTATTCAGAAAGGGAAAGGGGATAATGTCTTGCATTTTGCTGAAATTTTTGTGTGTTCAATTCAAATCATGATTTTTTGGGACTATAGCATTGTTGAAAAATAAAGTCACCCAAAGAGAGAAAAATTTTACAGGAAAATTTGTTAAAGTTACTAGATTAGGGGTACCTGGCTGGCTGTGGTGGAGCATGCAACTTGATCTCACGGTTGGGAGTTCATGCCCCACAGAGGGCACAGACCTTACTTTAAAACAAACAAACACACACACACACAAAACAGGGGCACCTGGGCAGCTCTGTTGGTTAAGCATCTGCCTTTGACTCAGGTAGTGATCCCGGGGTCCTGGGATTGAGCCCCTCATTGGGCTCCCTGCTCAGCAGGGAGTCTACTTCTCCCTCTGACCCTCCCCCCTTTCACGCTCTCTATCGCTCTCTCTCAAATAAATAAATAAAATATTTAAAACAAAACCAAAAAACTAGATTTTTAGTTTACAGGTATTCATACCTCTCCAACTATATGAAAACTTTTATTGGAGGGTGTGATTAAAGGAGAAATACTACACTTGACTTAGTAATAATAGATTAAAGCTGGCTAATCAAACAGATTGCCATCTGGTCAATCAATTGCCATTTGAAAGGCTGCTCTAAAAATATCTTCATGTAAGTGTCTAAATCTTAACAAAATGTATTGACTCCTAATTAATTTAGGCTAGCTAACAGGAAACAAATTTTCACTGGACATTTTAGATTCCCACTTATAATACAATTACCAAAACCCTCCAATATTCCCAAAATATTTCCCCAAATAGAGATGAAAAAAAACATATTCTAATTCTACTCTAAACTTTCCAAGAAGTCACTATATACTAGTCTTGGGCATTAAAGCAATCTCTAGCAGCCTTTAAGATAAAGCAGAGTTCATCAACCTGCTTCAGCTTAGTGCACTGGCAGTAAAACACACGAAATACATATTTTCTTTTTTGTACAAAAGCAAATAGCCACAGTACAGAACAGTTAAGCAGGTGGCTGGCTACCCACTAACTTCGAGGCTATCTACTCTTCCAAAAAATGGGGACAATCTAGAATTCCCTGCCTCACAAGTTGATGTGACATTCAAATGTAAAAATGTATATAAAAGTATATGATGAATCCTAAAGCAACAGGACTATTAAATATGTATACACATATACCCTCTTCTATCAAAAGTATATTCAAAGGCAAAAGATGTGATAAAAACCGTGAAACCCACAATCCCTTCATTTGAGCTGCTGTTTGGGGAAGTGTCAGGCATTAAATTGGAGCCAAGATTATCTAAGAAGTCATTCTTCACTACAGATATAAATCTGAGGCACCAGACTGTTCTGTGAATCTTTCTCACACTTGCACATGTAGATTATCCCACAAAAGCCCCAACAAATCAAGAGCAACAAACAAGGAGTAAAAGCAAAGGACAAATTACTGAGAAAAGCACATGATGCTTTCGGATGAACCATGTTCAGGTTTGCACAGGGAGGACTCAGAAGAATGGGAGCAATTCATTCTGTAGCATCCCGGCTTTATGAAGCCATCCTGGCTTCCACAGAGCAAGGTGTTTAAGTGACTCTGATCAGCACAGCATGCTGATGATCCCATTGTACATCTGATTTGGCTCAGGATCACCCAATCGAATTTGGTAACAGAGTAGACTCCAGAAGAACCACCCGTTAAAAACAATCCAAATACAGACTCTAAATGGGCATAAGGCCTTTTGTGATCTCCGCTGGAGCTTATAGTATCTAACAGCTGCAACTGTGACTGTTCTAGCTAATTGCTCTCAGCAACAAAAATAAACAATCGCTCCAGGAAGAAGACTGTACCCGCCAAATATTAATGAATTTTTTAACAGTCAGAAATCTCAAATCTCGGTTCAAAAGCCCTGCTACTGGTTAAAAAAAAAAAAAAAGTCTCCAAGAACAAACAGGGTTGACGTGGCCTAGACAGAAAGTCCTTATTTTGTACTTAATCCTCCCCCGCACTTCTGCCCCCCCCCAAAAAGAAAAGGAAAACTGCCTTGTGTCTGGAAGAATTTAAGCAATGAGATATTTTAACTCATGTATAACTTTTTAACATATGGGGGAAAAGAGTCGTACTGATTGGAGCTATTTTTAAAGTGCAGCTCTACCATAAAAATAGACATTTACTCATAAGGATGCTTGAATAGAGAACAAGCCCAATCTACGTCTCATTGTTAAGAAAGGGGTGAAAAAAGGCTGCTGTGCTTTCTGGAGAGCCGTTTATGGTCCGCCTGTGATGTCATGGCAGGATCCAGGTGCACTCTAACAAGCGTCTTTCAGCCTCCTCAATCCTTTTAAAAATGCTCTTCTACCATCAGCTACTTCTCTGAGCACAAGCAATAAGCAGCCAGTATTTACTCAGACCTTTGCAAGAGGGAAGATCACTGCAATCAGAGACGCATGGAAGGAGAAAGAAAAATTACTCACCCACAATTAGGTGCCTCATCATCCTCTCCTCGTCCAGCATTTCCTTTTGCTAAGGAGAGAAAGGAGAGAAGCAGTTGACTTATCAGTACTCTGGGACATCTATATGTCTTCTGTGCATAAGAAGTAGTAATTTCATAGCTCTCTCCCCATTCAGGCCCCAGCTGCTTAGGTGACCCTCACAACCACATACCCGCCGTAGATAATGGCAAGCAGGCATTTTAGGCATCTCCACAACATAATGCTTGGAGACATCAACCTGGTTTCTGGACGTCAACTGGTCTTTAGCCTGCAGCAATGGAGTTGTAATGGAAAACCATGTAGAGACCCTGAATTTAAGCCCTCCACGAGAAAATGTCAGCAGCAATCTGATACCATAAAAAACCAGCAACAGCTTTCACGTGCCAGGTCTTGAACCCAAATCAGAATGCATTAGTTTATGTCTAAAACAACAAAACAAAACAAAAAACAAAAAAACTCTCCATACACACCTGGAACAAAACCAAAAAAGGGGAAAGAATCCTTATCAAAAGAAAACCAAAAAGCAAATATGAATGTTAAAGATTGTTGTTTAAAAGACTAGATACATAATCATGACTTTAAAAATGTCAGAGAAAGAAAAATAAATAAATAAATAAATATGCCAGAGAAAAAGAGGTGCTCAAATATCTTTTTCACAAGAATGAGTTAATTCTGATTTGTGCTTTTTGTACTTTATAAATTTTCCACAGGAACTGTATTATTATTGATTGAAATTAGCCACAGGGATTAAAATAGCATCAAGTGCCTCATAAAAAAATGTATGCATCTGCCTATGTTCAACTTCTAGATGCCATATATATCTGGCAGTATTTAAGAAATCCGATTCCACAAAAGAACACAGTTTATACAAGTTAATTTAGCACGTGTTTTAGTACTCAGTTATAGTGAAGGGCAAAGAGCCAGGAGTTAGGAGGGCTGGATTCAAGTGCCAGGTCTCACATTAGCAAAAGAACCTTTGAGAACCTCACCATCTCTGGGACGGACGCACATATCTGCTGAACAAGACCCCCAAAATGTCTTCCAGCTCAAAACCGGAGAAAAACTGGACATAAATTAAATGTTAAGCCCAGAAGCATGGCATAGCTACTGGCACAGAGCAGGTGCTCAATGTATATTTAATGAAAGAATTACCAAAAGGAAGTTTTAAAAAATATTTAAAACAGAGCATCCCAACCTGTGTGCCACCATGTCGAAAAAGGGCTAACAGGTGTGTCAAGCTACCGATCTCCTCAGGAAAACAGCCAAAACCATTTGTAAAGCACAACTTTTTAAGTATACTAGCATTACGCACACAAGACCATCTTTATTTGGAGAAGTTCATGATCAACTTATAAAAGAGATCAACTTATAAAAAGTTCAAGATCAACTTATAAAAAAACTGCCCCTCATTAAGAAAGACAGCATGTGGGTCTCTATCAACTGATACTCAAGCCATTTCATCTGAAAACAGAGAGCATGAGAAGCCCTTTGCTTAAGAAGCTTTGAAAGGGACTCTTCTCACACAATTATGGGTGTGAATAGGTACTTCTCTTAAGAACAAAGTCTGAAAACCAAAATCCTCTCAACATATACTTGGGTACATATGGAGAACACACAACAGCAACCATTCTCAAAAGATGAAGTTCTGCAAAAGAATATTTAAGTAATACAGTAGCAACTGCAATGTGTGGCTTGAACATTTATAGCAATAGCTACTTATCCTTTTTGATAGTAACTGGGGAATTTTTCGGTGTGAAAACCTGCAATATTTCTTGCAATTATTAAAACTCGTAACATCACAAAACCTATTTTTCTTTTGAGAAAGGAAAAGATCAGAAACATATGGAGGGGGTTACTTTCAATGTGGTGCTTAACTGTACTTCCCAACTGGCTGCTTTTCCTTCCGCATTCAACAAATGGAAGTTGTGCATCTTTTGGAAGCCCCATCGCCTGTATTTATGGGTCATACCCTTCCCTTCCCCCGTCTCACCACAGTCACTTCACCTCTGTCTCATCTGCAGTGCAATCCACAGAAAAAAGCTACCTTGCAACTGTACTTCATTCCAAAGTGTGGGTCACTCAGAAGGGGGCTGCCAGTTTCTTCAGATCGGCAAGGAAGTCCATGGTGGGGCTGGTGGCTTCTGAAACTGTCCAGGGAGGATTCTCGGAAGGAGTGTACAATGAAAATCAGAGTTAGAGATGGCATGTGGCTGACCACAACCTGTAGGTCCAAGGGGCCTGCAGAATAAACAAACAAGTCCTCCTCCCTAAAGGGCCGCTTCAATGGTCTGCCTTTCTTTCCTATGGTTCTTCATGAAAAGGGAAGGTGTGGTTATAAACTGAGTTCCCAAAAAACCCCAAAAATGTAAAAAGCTATCAAACTAAAACCTCATCTTGGAAATACCTGAGGAACATCTGAGACAATGTTCCCCTCATCTTATAGGAATGTGGCTCTTGAGCAATATGGATTAAGAATGAAAATAAACTGCAGTCCTATATTAAGAGCCAATTGGGTACTATGGCCCTAGAAATAGTATAAACACTAAAGAAGGAGCACTTTACCATCTAAAATCACGGAGTTTGAAAGATATACACACTGACAAATAGATTGGTCTGTGTTCTGGGGAGATTACTGGAGAGATTTTGTAGGGATTTTTGCTTTTGTTTTGCATACACTGAACAAATGCTCCAAATAAATGTCTACCTTAAAAGAAGGCACTGTCCTTCCTAGCAACTCCAAAAATCACATACTACCTATTATAGTAAGTATTTCTAGTGCTGCAGTAGAAATATGGGCAAAGGAACAAAAGCAAAGTTTTGAATGTTTAGATACTTTGTATTTCATTATGGACTCAAATTTCTGACTCACCTGAGATTTAACTAGTCATAGACATAAAAATGTTTAACAAAATCAGAGGTCTATATTGAATGACTGAATTGCCCAGAAAATACTATAAGTAGACAGAAGCTTACCCACATGTCTTTGATCAGTGTTCTCTTCTTGACTTCCCACCCCCCCAATCTCTTTCAAATCCCACTTAATGCCCCAGCTCAATTGCTACCCTGTGTGACTTCCCATTTCCACCCAAATTACCCTTCCAACACACACACACACACGCCACTCCCTTCCTCTTCTTTTTAATGTACTTTGTCCACAGCACTCTTGATCTTCTTTCTACTGTATAGTTACTTGTAGATGTGAACAAATCTTGAGCACAAGACAAGACTGTGTGAGAACAGAGAAGCGTATGTCATGCAAACACTTATGTCTGCCCCTTTGAGACACTGTACATTGTGGGGGTTCATGCTTGGTTGCTATAAGGTATTTGAAAATGTAACACCCGTAAGTATTTCTGGGGGTTAGTATCAATTACTACATCTTAACCTGCATCTTTAGTTAAATTAAAAGTAATGTTAATATTGAATTTGAGACCGTAAGATTGTGACATGTCTTAATTCAAAGAATAATGCCAGTCGGCATACTTTTAATATTCAGGGTATTTTACCATATTAGTGCTTTGTAAATCATCACCCCTATGTTATATGTTTACAGAGGGCAAGAACATCTGGCCAAATTCTTCCATCAACCCAACTATTCAGATGAACAGTGTCTTATTGTATATGATAACTTTCATTTTGTTTCAGAAAGGATATGGACAACTTAATGCATATGAGAGCACTTCAAGATTCACTAAATGACACTAATGTCAGAAAAAAAATACGTAAATGAGCTAGTAATTAAATCCAAGAAAGGAAAAGCAGGATCCATACATAAGAAGGGGAAAGCAGGTTCACCTTTGCAAGTTGTAACTGGACTTAAAATAACTAAAGCAAGTTAGCTTGAAACCTATTCTGGGCTCTCAGAGCACTTACGACATTGTTTGTGGTCCTGGCCCTGTGGCTTATCTGTCCTCCAATCTGGGTGACAGTTTCCAAAAAGTAAGAGCCACACCTTGGTCATTTTTATAGACTGGGGGCACAACACACAGTACACAGATAACCAATAAGCCCATGCTGAACAGCCAAAACAACTTCTGTTTATTTCTATAAACCAGAATTCTGGAGAGGTTAATTTCAGTAACCCTATTATTGTTAACAGGCTGCCTGTATTAATGGTATAGATGTTTTAATTCTTCCAACTTAAAGGGAATTGAGCCTATTTCTGGGAATTTTCAGAGAAAGAATACAAAGAATAGTAGAGAAACACGAGCCATTCCCTGCAATGACTGAAGTTATAAATGTTCTTCAAACAATAACCTTTACGATTTGGGCAATACTTCTGTTTGAGGTTCTGATATGGTAACAGATACAAAGGATCAAAACCAATGCCTCTTAAATGTATCTTCTGATAAAAAAAAAATATATGCATACTCTTCTGGAAGTATATTAAAATTTCAACATAGTTACTGTTAAAATATATGCATTTCCTTATTTCTAGGTAACCCTCTGAAAAGGATGTTACAAGCTTTCACTACATTTTTGAACCTCTCATAAAGCAAGGGTAGGACTCTTACAGTCTTTTTTTTTTTTTTTTTTAAACAAAAAGGCTAAATTGCTAACACTTTTACTCAGACCAGATTGAAACAATGTAAAATGACGTTAAGATTTAAAAATTTATGTTGGCAACCCTAACACAGAACTGCAATACTCTAGGATTATTTGCATTATTTGCATTATCTCTCCCTGAGGGGAGAAAGGATTCTAAGGGTGAAAAAAATCTCTGAAGTATACCAGTAGTCTCACCAACCTTCTTTCCTGAGAATTTCTCCACTATCTGCTCAAATATAAAAGAACTGCTGACATGCAAACCAGTCAAAATACAGGTAGCATGCAAGAGGAGAGAGGTAAGGGGGTGGGGGGGGGGGAGATGTTCTGATATCACAAAATCAGAGTATTAAATTCATATAATAAAGAAGCAGGTATGGAGATTTGAGATTAATTGCATGTTAGAAGAAAAGGAATTGTCTTGTCACTCAGCTATGCTCTTGACTACTAAGTTGTGAATTCAGGACAATTACTTTAGAATGGCTTTTTACAAAAAAACAAAACAAAACAACTTACAGATATCAAATTTTAAAAAGCCATTTAGCACACTTTATAAGAAAAAAGAAGTACTTCATTAGTGCATCAAATTTTCTTAAGTTCTACAGAAGTAGACTCTTCACATAAAAGATCAGCGAGAAGTATTTTTCTTCCTCCACAGACCTGGTAAGGATGTGTAATGAGAACTGAACAGGTATACGCAACACAGATTTGGCCCAGTTCCCGACGTGGACCCGTGCTACCCACATCAGCCTTAACCGAATGAAAACGGGAGTTTCTGAATTCAGAGAAGAGTCGCTTCACAATCTGGCACTTGGGCAACAAAAATAAATCTCACACACCAGCAGTTAATCCCACGGGTGAATTAAACCTTGCCGGCAGAAGCAGAGTAAGTTATCTTCCTTCTCTGGTTTTTCTTTAGCTCAAGTAAATGTGTGAGGACAATTCTCATTTGTTTAAAAAAAAAAAAAAAAAAGTTGGTGATTATTAAATCAGAGAAACAGAATGATGTCAGCATCCAATTACCCAAACTTTACAACTAGCAGATGAAAGCACGTATTCCTCTAAAAATTACTCATTAAGTAATATTTGAAAGCTAACTATCAGAAATGTCATTCAAAAAAATTTTTTTTTGCACATTCTACTTCAATTAACATGCTTCTGGAATTCTTACTTTAGATAACACAGCGTTCAACTAAAGCTCTGAGAGAACCTCTTAACTCAAGAGGGTAAGTTTATAAGCCTGAGCACAGGAGGAGCCCCCAAAATGCGTATAAAGACCTACTCACCACACTGTTCTTTCCCTTCAACTTTGTTTATTGATGTACTGAACATGAAAAAGTACAAAGAATCCAAACACAAAAGAAAACATGTACAGCCTCTTAAATACTCAACAGAATATATTTTCTATTCCAACAGATGTGAATTAAGTCATACTGTACAACTTCAAATAAATACCAGCCTTACATTTTATTAAGTGCTCTGATAAACACTGTAAAGTGAAGCACAATTTGCATGCCCTCTCATCAATGCCTCGGTTTGCTACAGTAGTATAGGAAAGAAGCATGTAGCTGCTGTTTTCCCAGGAGGGAAACCTTATTTTTTTTTTTAAGTATATACATGTATTTTGTTTTTTAGTTTTTTTTTTTTTTTTTTTTAAACGCAGAAGGTTAACTCTGACAATCTAAATGCACCTAAGGATATGAGAAAGTGCTAAGCCAATTGATTTCTGAATAGCATTGAGTGGGTCAGCATGAAAACTCGCTTATTCACTTTAGCACGCGCCTCACAGTATATGTACTGTACTATACTGAAAAATTTTATAACTACAATTTTAAATAATAAAAAATAAAACTCAACGCAACCGCAAAGATAATGTACAACTATGTTATGCATAGCACATTGCCTGTTCTAAGGGGAAGCATGTGAGCATCTCAGTTTATACAAAAAGCAGGACGTAACTATATAGTTCTCAGTGCATCCTGATGAAGGCATTTTTGCCTTCAGCTTTTTTGAAAATTTATTATAAGCTAGATGCTAATCAGAAAATATTTTGTATTTTTTAAAATTTCTTTCATACATGGTAAAGACTTATTTTATTATTTCCCCAAATAGTGGTTTAAGCATCATACAAAGTTAAATTTCAGTAGCATACAGATATTTATGATTTTTGTATGAAAAATGTAAGGAAATTTGTTCAAAACCTATGGTTATACTCATTTTTTTTTACCACAAACATATTTATAAACGAAAATGTAGCATCACCATAAACAGCTGAAGCTAGACTATCTACAGACAAAATTAGCAACAAATCTGATGCACTGTAAATTCAAGTCCTCAGGACAACAAAAGTGATTAAGCAAGACCTCAAGTAACAATGTTAATGCCATTTACAAAGGAAAAAACTGATACAAAAACATTCAAAACCTGAACATCACTTGGCATGTAAGGGAAAAAAAAAATCAAATTAGCTGAAAGGTTCATAAACACAAGGTCTTATTTACATTACACAAAGCTCAGGTGTTAGCCTTGAACGTAACTTTCAAAATACCTTCAAATATATCCAACTCAGATCACTTTTGCCGATTTGCTGCAGTACAAATCATGTGCAACATCTTTTTTCCTTAAGACAAAACAATTCTTCAAACAATACTGCAAGTACATCACTAAACACCATGAGCTCTATCTGAAGGGATTTCTTTAGGAAGAACAGATTTTTTTTCCCCCATCTCTTGGTAATTTAAATTTCTTGCCTGCTCTTATATATTCTTTTGTAAATTTTTTTTTATTTGTTTCAAAATCACAAATCAATGTGAGCCACCTATCACATAATAACCAGGATGATCAGACGCTCCACTGGTGATTACAAAAACGAAACCAGCAGTGTTTCCCCCATTGATTCTACTCCTTTCATACAAAGATCTCAAAAGTAGTATTTTCTACATCATAAATCTTTCTAAATTTTCCAACCGCTGCAAATTTCCTGGTAAATTTTAAAAGCTCACTAGGTGTCATATGAAGAGATTTCTCAAAGTATTCAAGTCAAAATATTTGTTCCAGGACCAGTAAAAAGTTTCTCCAAATTTTCTTTTTTATAAAAATAGATGCTTTTTTTAAACCCACATCAAAGAGGCTCTTATCTCTTTGGCAAGGTACTGCTTTACGAAAAGTTCTCCAGTATTCTTACAATAAGCGTTTATAATGTAGCCCCCCCCTTCCCCAACCCAAATCATAATTACAAAATAAATACTGTTTTTAACTTCATAAATAAAAATGTAAACTTCAAAATACTTTTCTTAGACATAACAGCAATGCTTTAAATGTAAACCAAACACAAAGCTAATTGGAAAAAGAAAGAAAAGGGGGAAAAAAAGACACAACCAACTTAAGAATTACAACACAAAGCCTCAATATTTACTCACAGGTTCAAGGCAGTTATGTAAAAAGAAAAGAAATGTCTTCCCTTAGCTGAAACACTTTAAAAGGTCCACCTTCTTCAAAGAAGGCAATAGAATGCAATGTGACAGGTAAAAACCCTGTACCTCTTGTCCATATTCAAACATAAAAGATATTTAAGAAGTTTTAATTCAAATACTAGCAATAAAAAATCTCACATATTTCTTAGGATGCTAAGTAGTCGTTTTATCCCCATCTCAACACTGACTTACAAAGACATTTACTAATGTATAAAGTTTCTCTTAACTTGCCTTTGTTGTATAGTTTTCATATATAAATGGACTGAGGACAAGAGCTCATTAGGCTTTGTGCGTTTTGTTTGTCTTAAAGGAGACCTGCAGTACTCTGTCTCCCAGACGGTATCCATTGAGGCTAGCTATCGCCATGGCAGCCTCATCATAGTTTGTCATAGTCACAAATCCAAAACCTTTGCATTTATTGGTGTTAAAGTCACGGATGACCTTCACGTTGGTGACAGCTCCAAAAGGCCCAAACATTTGCCACAGGATACTCTCATCTGCGTCAGGAGCCAGGTTGTACACAAAAATACACCACCCTGTTCCTGGGTGCCCAGGGATATTAATTCCAGCCAAACTGGTCATTCCATCAATGGTCATTGGAGAAAACCTACTAAACAAAATAGGAAACACACACACACAAACCACACACCACACACCACACACACACAAATAGAAACAGAGGTTGGTTACAGCAATGGACGTATTTTTTTTCCCCTCCCAGCCCAAGAGTTGCAGTAACCCCCTCCCCTCCAACAGATATATACAACTATCTGATGTTTCAACCAAGGTCTGTGTGTGTGGCTTGCGGTGACATGCTATATTGACAAGGTATTAATAAATTATGAAATGGCCATTATATGCTGTACTGAACAATACGACCCACAAGAGCAAAGAAATATATTTACAATATATTTAGAAATGGCTTCATGAATTAAGCAGGATTGGAGGGAGGGGGTACCAACACATACACACACATGCTATAGCGTCGCAATGCAATATAAAACAAATAATGGGGTTTTTAAAGACCAGGTGGCATCCAGTGGTGTACAAATACTCAAATCAACCGTGCTTCAAAAAGCAACTTTTCATTAGGTTGTACATGCAAAAGAAAACTGAACACAAACTCATGAAGGGTGTCACTGCCAAAATCAAAGAAACTAATCAATTATGGGAAGGGATTATGAGTATCATGAACCTCTATCATTACCTCTTTACTCCATAAGCCATATTGAGCAGATTGTCCAACCTGCAAAACATACATTTAGCAAACTTCAGTTTTTAATTTTCCCCCTTGATGTTCAAGAAAGCTGGATTTGTTACAGCCATCTTCCAAGGGGATATCTGTATGTTAATTCTATGTGAAGTCTCAGAACTTTAGGTCTTTTCACATTCCTGGGAAAGTGGGTACCCACTGCCCCAAGACACTAGCTCTTCCGATGGATGGTTGATCCCTACAGTGACCAGAGCCATGCAGGCGTAAGGTAGGTGGTCATTCAGAGAGGAAACGTGGAGGCTCTGCAGCCATTCGTCTTTGGGTTCTCACCTATTACCAGGTAAATTCTAAGTTCTCCATGTGCACTTATGGGTAATTTATACTACTGTTTAAAAAAAAAAAAAAAAGACAGAAGAAGAAAACAGGCCTCAAATGGAGTCACCTGTGCTGAGCCCCATGTCAGCAAACTAAGACTTAGTATCTAATCTAATAGTAGGTTCAAGAACACAAACTTTAACCAGTCAAGCTGGAATTACCTGGTCAGCTCTAGTGATGTACTTTGCCTGAAACGACTCCCACCCCTCTCCCCAAGGAAGGTGACCTTGCCTGAAACAATCCACTCTTTGTTAGAAATGTCCCTTTTCCTGCTCCCTTCTACCTATAAAAACCTTCCATTTTGTACAGCTTCTTGGAGCTCCTTTCTATTTGCTAGCTAAGATGCTGCCTGATTCATGAACTGTAGAATAAACCAATGTGATGTTCAAATTTACTCAGCTGAATTCTGTTTTTTAACATTAAGTTTTATAACTCCATTGACTCCTGTGTATACCAGGCACACTGATTAAGTGACTTGCCAAAGACCATAGGGGTAATAAATAGTGACGCCAATATTCCATAAATTTCCCTTCAACCTCTCAACTCGGAAAGACTTTCATTTCTTACAAAATGGTGTGTTACAGGTAGAAAGAACCTTACAGACTGTATCAGCTCAATCTGCCATTTCTCCTTGTGCTCAAATAAGGTGCAGAAAAAGACAACAGTGAGCTTCAGTGAGCAACAGGGCAAAGAGTTCAGATGCTGAGATTGATGCTTATTTTGACTACGCTACAGAAAATGTAGCTCTACGCAAAGTCTAAGTCAGGTAGAAACCAACCAACCACACTGAACCTCCCTTAAAATTTTTAAAACAAAGTAGTTGGGGGTAGGTAGGTACTCTTTAAAACTCTCCATCCTTTTCCTATTTCAAAAATTAAGTTGATTTTATAATATTTGCTTCTTTTTGCTTAGAGACCATTCTGATGTCCCAAATTTCCATAATGTATACCAATTAATTACACGTATTTAGAGGAGGTGGGCACAGCTTATGGTAGACAGAACCACCTTCAACTGCAACGATGTTCAACACTCTCCAAGTGAGACCCTGAGGCAGGGGGAACAGTTTTGTTCTTTAACACCTATGAAAGGTAAGTCTGAAAAATGCCTCAATGTTGTTGTCTAACCTGTGGCCTCATATGAGACTAGGGAACACATAAGAAAGCAACTGCTTCTAGTTTTATAAAAGCCAAAAAACCATCTCTTTCTGGTGTTTTACAATTGGAAAAGGAATCTTCACACATTCCTGTCCACAACCACCTGTGGGCATTTTGTGTGTTTTGTAAAAATGGAAAGAAATAACTGAGCTGATGCAATGCAAAGTGTAAGGAAACAGAACAAATCACAATGACAAAGGATCCTCATCTGTGTATGTCTGTTGTCTTGTCCCAACATCCTCTCAGAAGCAGGGACATGTTCATTCCCCACTGTGCCACTAAGCATAAAGCATACACCTGGATCACTGCAGGTTTAAAATAACTATCTGTTGACAAATAAAGCAATAAGGTTACAAATACTATCCTTAACTACTTAATCCAGAATGAAAAGTATCAGGAGGGCTGGCCTGGGGAGCCTGTTTGCACATGCAAGGAGAAAGCACGTGTGTGGAAAAAGTACACAGGTGGGAGGGCTTGGGTTTTCTGCAGAGGCAGTAAGTCAAAGACATCAAGGCTTTATACGCCAAAAGAAAAGCCACAAACACCAAAATAAAGATACATACAACTTAGTATCACCAACCATCAAGTAATGTCATACAGAAAATTTCATACAGTGACCGGAATGATAAAGAATGCATTTGGCAGGGGCGCCTGGGTGGCTCAGTGGGTTAAAGCCTCTGCCTTCGGCTCAGGTCATGATCCCAGGGTTCTGGGATCGAGCCCCACATCGGGCTCTCTGCTCAGCAGGGAGCCTGCTTCCTCCTCTCTCTCTGCCTGCCTCTCTGCCTACTTGCGATCTCTATCTGTCAAATAAATAAATAAAATCTTTAAAAAAAAAAAAAAAAGAATGCATTTGGCATATGATACCTGTAGAGTAGAATGGCAACTGAAATCTCCTTCCAAAGTGCTGAATGGCCCAGACACAGAGACACCTTATCGATTCACTCAAAACAGAGTTACACCATCTCTGCCCAGGTTGGGAGTATCACACTTTGCCACCATCAATCAGCTTACTATACCAACCAAAAGCCCGGGGATGGAATCTCCTAAGCAAGTGTTCAGTTTTTTCAAGACAGGATGGAAACCAAAACTGCTCCAGAAGTGAATTACACGTGTTAGGGAGAGACATCTCTTTCCCCATTCTCCATCCAAGGATCTTCCAGGCAGGAGGCCTAAGACTTCTACACTAGGATCTCTCAGGACCCTCTCAGTGAGCCTCCTAAGCAATGGGTGCTCCACGTGAACACTATGCACCCCAAATCTCGTAGCAGCTGGAAAACCGTAAACTAAGCATCTTCTCTTTTAACTGCCTAGTTTACAGTTCGCTCAGACATAGGACCATTACTGCTCTCCAGAACTATACATTGTTGTTGGGTGTGTCCAGAGCTCAGGACAGCCATCTTTTATATGTGGTCATTTAAAAACAGAAGCCAATAGTTAATGGAGACTAAGTCAGTAGTGTCCAGAATGATCCAGGGGGGCTGTGAATGACGACATACTACAGTGTGGAAGAAGAGAGTCCATTCAAAAGATACATTCAACTTGAAAAGTATTCTTTATTCAAATTTAATGGCTGTACCGCAACCAGTACCCTCACTCAGCAACAAGTACCCTCAATCAGTCCCCACACATTGCTTCCTTTCCTGAGGGAAGACTGAGCAGTCCTCAAGGGAGGTGGCACTCTTCCCCTGTTCTGTACCTTGGATATAATCCACTTTACAAATAGCACATTAAGTGGATCTGGAGGATTAGATAGGGAGGCCTAGCTTTAATTTAAAAAAACCTCCAAGAAGAGGTAGCTTCACAATGATTTCTACAGAAATCATCATGATCAGAGTCAGGATGATACCAGTAAAAGCAGTCCAAGTCAACAGAAACAGGGAGAGCTGACTATTTCTGATTATTTCTCCTTTTCCTAGTACAATGTCCGTGATGAGGTCAGACACAAGATAATCCAACATGCAATTCAAAATTACTAAGATACTTTCACAAATCTTGCCTTAAAGATATAGGATTTATTAAGATACTGGATAAATGAAGTCAGTCAGCATGATAATAAGCAAGATATTTAAAATATTGTTTCTTTCATCTTTATATGTATTTTCTATGTTTGATTAGGGTTTAAGAGTTCATGAATGTGGGGCGCCTGGGTGGCTCAGTGGGTTAAAGCCTCTGCCTGCGGCTCAGGTCATGATCCCGGGGTCCTGGGATCGAGCCCTGCATCGGGCTCTCTGCTCAGCAGGGAGCCTGCTTCCTCCTCTCTCTCTGCCTGCCTCTCTGCCTACTTATGATCTCTGCCTGTCAAATAAATAAATAAAATCTTAAAAAAAAAAAAAGAGTTCATGAATGTAACAGCACCAAGCCCATGTTCATATAATTTATGAAAAAATTATATACTGGGCATAAGGGTATAAACATTTTCCTCTCAACAGGAATACAACTCAGACAACACTATTTTGAATATTAGGTAGAGCATTCTCATTTCAAAGTTAGAAGTTACAAAAAGAAAACACCTACTTAATTTCTAAGAAATTTAGCTGACAGACTATGGGGAGGCCCACACGCAAGTAGAAAGGGAAATGTGAGGTCAATTAAAGTCAGAAATAAACATATAAAGAGAGATTACTAATGGGTAATAAAGTGCAACTCTGAACTCTACAAATAATGATTCTCAAAACCTCTCCAAAGCACTGGCCAAGATGTGCTTTGAAATTAAACCACAAGATCATCAACTTACCCCTTATCCTATTAGATGGTGTCATCTATCCTCTAAGAAAAAAAAAAACTACTCAGGAGGACTGATACCGGTTTCTTCCAAAAGGAAATTATAAGAGTAGCAACCAGCACATGCCTTCAATGCAACACAAGCACGGATTTAAAAGGCTGCTTTAAAAATGCATAAAGGCTTACAGAAGCAGGCACACAGGCCATTAGACTAGATCACGTTCAATAAAATCAAAGCTGCTCCACAAGAAGAGAGATGAAAAATTTGGCCAAAAGCTTAATTCTGACACCATGTCCTAAAAAATATACTTAAGGGGCTTGAATTATACTATCCATCCCAATAAATAAAGACGGTTTTATTTTGAAAACTGTAGTCAATTAAATAAACATATTAGATCAGCAGTGTTCATGTTAAAATAATTCTCTATTCCTTGGGTTGACTGAGCCATAAACTTCACAAGCCCACTTTTAAACTTAATCCTTATTGCATGGGTTTTACATTTTTCTGACTTCAAAAGATACGGTGCATTTCATGAGTATTAAAAATACCCTTGAGGGGCGCCTGGGTGGCTCAGTGGGTTAAAGCCTCTGCCTTCAGCTCAGGTCATGATCCCAGGGTCCTGGGATCGAGCCCCGCATCAGACTCCCTGCTTAGCAGGGAGCCTGCTTCCCCCCCTCTCTGTCTGCTGCTCTGCCTACTTGTGATCTCTCTGTCAAATAAATAAATAAAATCTAAAAAAAAAAAAAAATCCTTGACTATTATTATAATACTTAGAACTTGTATTCTCCAGTCTCCTTGAACTCCCAAGGTACTATGACGACATAAGAAACAGAGTGAGAAATGCACTGTCTACTGGAAAGTGCCAAAGTAAAGGCCTTTGGACACAGATGTCAGGGACAAAATATCCCTGCAATGATCTAGATCTGAGTGAGAGAAGACCAAATACCAACATAAGAAGCAAGTCCTTTAATTCAATAGTCTTTGTGAAGAGAAAGTAGATTCAACCTTAATTCAACAGAAGAGAGACAAAGATACGGGTAATAACACCAAGTTTTTAAAGTATTAAAAGCAACCAAACATATACCAGGTTAAACCTGAATTCTAGGAATAAAGGCTCACAATTTCTTCCAACACTGCGTCTAGACCAAGCACTTTCACTTAGCTCAAAGACTAGTTCATTACTTATTATCCACACAGAGGTTTAAGGAAGGAACGGAGGGCAGTAGAGACGAAAGTGAGGAATCTGAAAGCAATCTTCTGTTTTCTGAAACTGAGTTTCCCTTACAACAGACAGTTCTTATTCCCATTTTCAGAATTTCTTTTCCTAGCAGTCAAGGAAGAATTTCAAGTTAATAACATACGGAACAAAAAGATAAAAGCAAAGGATGAGCAGAAAGATATTTAGAAAGATATTAAATGTGACCACGAGAACATCCTTGAAAGCTTTCCCAACCCACAAGTAAGAAGCACGAAGCATGCAGGAGTGGGCTGGGTGGGGTTGTGTGCAGACACAGCAGTTACAAGCCTGGTCTGGGAGTCTCAGCGGGCCTCACCATTTCAATGATCAGGCATTCTCCTGCAGATCCTGCCACCTCAGACCTCTTGTCTGATCTTCCTCATCATTTAGTCTTGACCCTCAATACACAGTTTTACTTAATAACTACCATGAAATGAAATCAGAGCTTACATTGGGGAACACCAGGAAAAAACTAACAATGTAAAACGAACACAGCTTTCCATTACCATCAAACATTTTATATTTTCACAGGGTTGAAATCAACCAGTAAGTCTCAAAGAGCCTCCCTCTACGTAAGCTCAAAACTCTTTTGTAGACCCCAAAGAGGTTACCTGGATAGGCTGTCCAGGAAACACCTCTAAAATTCCTTCAAGTTTGCGCAAAATTTGCAGGAAATATTATTTACTTTAAGATGCCACACAGGAAACCTACAGGCGGAGCTTTAAAAATACAAACAAAAAATGGTTTTGTGAGATTTTTCTCTACAAGGGCTAGTATCAAGCTGCTTCAATGCATCTCTCCCCCTGCAGCCATGGCCTGGAGTACCCACCACCGTCATGGGGAGCAGTGTTTCCTGACAATGTGTTGGTGTGCGGGGCTTTTGTTGTTGTTGCTGTTGTTTTTTTTCAACATCGCAAAGTTTAAAACAGAGAGTAAACACAGGCTCAATCAACTGGGTAACCCCATCATCCAGTTTCAGATGGATCCTTTCGACAGTCCCACCTCTACTGCCAGGGCAAAAGCCAGCCTAAGTAGGAACTGAACACAGAGTTTATGGTGAATTTCTTTCTCACACCTCACGTGACACAACTGACTACTTTTTTGAAAGCAGGTATTTCACCAATTTCATCTCTATTCTTTGGTACTCCTAAATACCCCAAATGAAAAAATGCTATGATTTAAGCTCAAAAACATAACTCCTCAGGGTGCCTGGGTGGCTCAGTGGGTTAAGCCTTTGCCTTTGGCTCGGGTCATGATCTCAGGGTCCTGGGATCAAGCCCCGCATCAAGCTCTCTGCTCAGCGAGGAGCCTGCTTCCCCATCTCTCTCTGCCTCCCTATCTGCCTACTTGTGATCTCTCTCTGTCAAATAAATAAATAAAATCTGGGGGGGGGGGAACCTCCTCATTAAGCTACATTTATGATCGTATTTTTGGTAAGTAACTATTCTGCCCCTGCAAGGAAAGAAAACTGATAATGCATTTGGGATTTAAAAAAAAAAAAAAAAAAAAAAAAATTAGCATGGGGTTAGATGGAATTATGGCTGCAGTACACCATATGGCCAAAAAGGATATTAAAAAATGTTCTAGGGGAAAAAAAAAAAAAACTGGGTGGCTTTGCTTATGAAACCAGAAGTTCTTTGTGCTGTGCTTAATGTCTTAAAGTCACTGTTCTCACATGCAGATCGGAATGTTTTTATAATGACTCTTGATTTGATTGTTACCCCAGGTTTAAATTAAAACTTGAAAAATTAAAATATTTATGCCTATCTACAAGATAGAATGTCTTCTTTGGGCTGAAGATGCATAGTCATTCTACGGACTATACAGGGGTCTGAAAACTACCACCCACAGGCCAAATCCACAGTGCCATCTGCTTCTGTATCGCCCAGGAGTGAAGAATGGCTTTTACATTTTTAAAGAACTGTTTAAAAAAAGATCTATATGCTACAGAGACCATGACCCCCAAAGCCTAAAATATTTACTATCCAGCCCTTTACGGAAGAGGTTTGCCAACCCCTAAAATACAAGAAATAAAAATTTTAAAAGGGGATAGGGATCCATTTGTAGAAACTTAATGTTTTCACATAGGTTTTATCTCCTTAGTGGTGTACACATTATAAAACAAAGTAACTGAAAGAGCTTGACCTAAAAGCTGAACTACAAGAATAAAATCTTACCCAGAAAAGAAAAGGGAAAAAAAAAAAAAAACAACTAGAAAGGGGAAATCAGAAGCACTGGAAACAGAAAGAACCCGCATTCCATAGATCAGGGTTTCTCAACCTCATACGATTGATGTCTGGAGTTAGACCATTTGCTGCTGTTGGGGGTTATGCTGTATACTGTAGGACGTTCAGCAGCATCCCTGATCTCTACCCAGGAGATGCCAGGAGGAACTGCACCCAAGTTATGCCCACACAGTGTCTCTGGATGCTCCCCAATATCCCAAGGGGCACAATTACTCCCCAGTTGAGAATGACTGCTATAGCTTATTGTCCTTTTTTCTTACCACCTTCAGTATTAGCAAAAGACACTACACCCCAAATATGTTTTCTCTATCCCCATAAGAAATAGAAAGAAAACACCACCAGCAACAGTAAGAACAAGCCAGAATCCTGTCAACAGAAGTACTGCACAGTGAACCTGAGAGTTCTGAGTGTAGTAGCTGGGCGTAAGAACCAGACCAGACTTACCTAAAACGCTGTGCCTGCTGAGCTAGTGGTCCTGGATACCTTCTGTTTGGAGACTGGTACAGCTGGGAAAGGATGGCCTGATTGGTTTTTTGGCTTGGATTATTAGCAAACTTTACAGTGATTGGCTCTGTGGCACCAGGAGGTTTCTGGCCATTTAGGCCTTTGATAGCTTCTTCTGCCTCAATCCGCTTGTCAAATCGAATAAACCCTACACCCCTTGATATGCCTATTGGTAGATTTGGGTAAGGATTTGGGAAAGAGGGAGCGGAAGGAGAAGGGAGGGAGAGAAGAAAGGTTAAATTAATTTTTCCTTTTCAGAAACATGTCTTCACCCACATAGAACATCTGCCACAAAACCACAGGAGGAGGAAAGTTTCACCTTACCTTAGTAGCAATTCAATCTAGAATCCCAATTTTGTATTTTTTTAATGCATCTACACAATCTCAATACCCACCATTATAAGCCTACACAAATAGAAAGCACGCAAATATATCCATGTTCTCCCTACCTGCTGCCTTCTTTCTCCCCCATAGACTCCCTTGTCTTTAATAATGTCAACAATAGCATGCCTGATTTCTACTTCTCAAATTATGGTATCAGATAAGCAGCTCAGTAATGAAGGGCACAGTAGCTTCCTTTCTTGTAAGGGGGGAGAAAAGAATCAGGCATTTACTAAAAATTCTAAAAAGCTATGCTAAAAATACATCACAGTGGTTGAAAGATATTTCAGCTAAATTTTTAAATAATAAAATTCTACTTAATAATATTACAAAGGATACTGGCCTGCTAAGAAAAATGTCTGAAGAGGCTTTTCTGGTTCCCTAAACTCCCCCAACTGGTTTTAACTAGCTAAACTTTATGAGAGAAACAATATTATAAGGAGAAAAAGGGATAAAAGAAGACCTATATTTTTAAAATAAAGAAAATAGAAATAAAGCCTCAAAGCTTTCTGGCTCTAGCAGTATTACTCCTATGGAAATGCCGTTCTCTGTCTCGTGCTCTCTCCCCACTCTGAGAGACAAGAATAGGGAAGCAGGGGGATGGCCAAATACCCGTCCAGCTTTTGAAAAATGGCAGAGAAAAACCCAACGCATTCCATTTAATTAGCTTTAATGGGCTAGCTGAGGTAGCCATAGCTGGCCATCCGGAGATAAAGAGTTGTAGGGAAACACTTTCTTGGCAAGCAAACTGGTACTAGCTGTGCTAGCTTAGGACTAGTAGCTAGAAAAATCTAGATGATTCAGAGCATATAAATGAAGACTAGAACGAGAGGTTATTGAGAAAGATAGGCTGAGAAAATGTACTCGACCATCATGATTTATAGGAACTTTAAAAAAGAATGAAGTTCTACTTGCTTTGTAATTAACACTGTGTAAGTTCACTGGTGTAGAATTTTTTTCTAAGGTGGAGAGGCATTTCTTCCAGACACCTATCTCAGCCCATACCACTTTTCCTTTCCTATTTAAGTTATATCAGTTGTACATTATTACTACCTGATGACTAACAAAATTGCAGGGTTTTCTTTTCCATTTCAGATAAACTGAATAATTTCGCCTTGAAAGTCTTAAGTAGAAAGATTAAAGATAAAATGGTGAGATGATAGTAAATATATTCTTTTAGTTATCCACTAACATGAAGAATTAATAACCCCTAGAACTTAACTATTCCGTGAGGAAAGCATTAGGTTAGCACTGCAATAGCCTCCACACAGGCTGAGTCACCCAAATCTGAGGTCCTCTAAATTGAGCATGCATCAGAAAAACCCAAAGAGGGGTGCCTGGGTGGCTCAGTGGGTTAAGCCTCTGCCTTCAGCTCAGGTCATGATCTCAGGGTCCTGGGATCAAGCCCCGCATCGGGCTCTCTACTCAGCAGGGAGCCTGTTTCTCTCTCTCTCTGCCTACTGGTGATCTCTCCGTCAAATAAATAAAATCTTTAAAGAAAGAAAGAAAGAAAGAAAGGAAGGAAGGAAGGAAGGAAGGAAGGAAGGAAGGAAGGAAAAGATTAACCCAAAGAGGGTTGCCTGGATGGCTCAGTCAATTAAGCATCTGACTCTTAGTTTTGGCTCAGGTCATGATCTTATGGGTCATGAGATGGAAAGTCTGGCTTGGTACTCAGTGGGGAGTTTGCTTGAGATTCTCTCCCACTGCCCCTCTACCCACTTATGAGTACATGCTCTCACATGCTTGTTCTCTCTCTGATATAAATAAATCTTTAAAAAAAAAAGAGAGAGAGAGAGAGAGAGAGAGAAAGAAAGAAAATAACCGAAAGGCTTGGTATAATGCCCACCTTTAAGAGATGGGACTTCTGTATCAGAAGTGAAATCTAGGGGCGCCTGGGTGGCTCAGTAGGTTAAAGCCTCTGCCTTCGGCTCAGGTCATGATCCCGGGGTCCTGGGATTGAGCCCCGCATCAGGCTCTCTGTGCAGCGGGGAGTCTGCTTCCTCCTCTCTCTCTTTCTCTCTGCCTGCCTCTCTGCCTACCTGTGATTTCTGTCAAATAAATAAAAATCTTAAAAAAAAAAAATCACTACTGTAAAAAGCATGAATGATATGAACCCCCAAATAAGGTATTTCTGTTGCTTTAAGCAAATTTATCTGGATTGCTAGACCTGGATTTCTTCTATTTAACCAACTAACAGTCTGTGTGATATAGCAAAGTGACAGAACATACACGGATGATTACAAAATGCAGCTATGATGAAAAGGCAGTTTTCTTATATTTCTTCCCTAGACTAAATTTTCTTCATACAGCCAAACCTATAGGCCATTCTCCCAGGCATGTATATGAAGGTAGATATCTTTCTACCCAAAACTCTTAAGGATGCTGCTTCTTATGTATGAGGCCCATTAACAGCACAGGGGAGCAGAACATGACTGCTTGTGATCAAACTCAGATCTTCACTTGAAGAATTAAAAACTTAGCCTGATTTTTATTCTGTAGTTAATCTACTGCCCCTGTTGGTGTTTTTTTCGTTTGTTTGTTTTGCTTTGTTTTTTTAAGATAAGAGCAGAAATAAATGTTATATAGAAACTAAAAAGACAACAGAACAGATCAGGGAAACAAGGAGCCACTTCTTTGAAAATATCAACAAACTGATAAATCTCTAGCCATATACATCAACACAAAAAAGAGAGAAGACTCAAAATCAGAAGTGGAAGAGGAGAAATAACAGACCCACAGAAATACAAACGATGATAAGAGATTATCCACTGCTTCCTTTATAGAAAAAAACAGACATCGTAATACACGATGATACATCTCCTCTTACGGTAGCAGGAGAGAGAGAAAAAGGAGAAAGAAAACAGGGAAAGTGAAAGGAAAGAAAAGGAAGAAACACAAAGAAAATTAAAGAGGAAAATCTATCTATGTTTTCCCCCAAAATCTTCATGTGACCGCTTGAGTATATGGTAATACAGCCAATTTTCCCCTCCTTACCATGTTTCTCCATTTCTGCTCTTTTTAAAAAGAATAAGCATTGTTTTTATAATAGAAAATTATAATTTATTCTTAAAATCCATGGTCAAACCTATATAGCTAGCTTTTCTTTAAAAGCTTTGGCAGAAGAGCACCCCTACAAAAGTTTTAATAAACCTATTAGTCTCCTCATTTCGGTTGGGTCAAAAGTTATACCAGGCATAAAATAAATTTTCAACATTCAAAATGTCAAACTCTGACACATGCCCGCATAACACAGGATGGACCTAGAAACCAGCCTGAACAGCTAGTGTGGACACAGGGTCATGCTCCCTTAGAGAACAAGGTACATACTGCTGCATTAAACTATGCTTTTTACAAGAAAAAAGACTATTTATTAGAAGGAGTACTTTACGAGGAGGATAAGGGCTTTTTTCACACAGAAGCTTGGAGATGAGGATTATATCATCTACAAATTTATTACATGCCATAAAACAGACTTCAAAACTGCCCCTTCGGGGTACAAATGACGCAAGCTCGCTCACCCCATTCCACAACCTATTTTTATCCATGCAGATTTATGAACAATTCCCGCAGAAAATTGTGTTTTCTGGTCCACATATACCCTTGGTGTGTTCCAGAGGCAAGATCACTGTATGGAAAGGCAGAGTATTTCACAGTCTGCCACTCAGAAAGTGTCAAAGATTGTCTGGAGCAACTGCCTACTTACCGGTGACCTGGTCAACAAGAATACGAGAAGTAATGATGCGTCCATATTGTGAAAAAAGCTGCTCCAACTCCTTCTGGGTCATTGTTTTCGGAAGTCCGCTGACATACAAATTCGCATCTCTGATAGAAGCCGAACTTGGGCGAGCATAGGAAACCTAGGAAAGGAAAATGGAATTAAGCATCTACACACACTCAGTTACCTCCCTTCAAAAATTCAAAGACTGTCTAAAGTTAGCAGCTTTTCCATACAGAGCACGTAACAAACAATGAAGTTAAAGCAAGTCTGGCGTTAACAGTTTTACTCATTTCTGGAGAAATGCTCAACAAATGGGAAATGCCACTCCCCTGGGGGAGAGAAAAGGGAGTATTTATCCCTAGGTTTGCAAGTTTTCAAAACAAACCACACAGCACAGCAATAGGTTGTCCTCAGTGGGGCCAAACCCTTAAACTAGGAATGTAGGCTCAATAATTAAGTTTAAGGACTCTAAATTCATCCAACACATTTCTGTGACCTGTTTTTGAGCCTCTTCCATCTCTGCTGGTGGTGGTACAAAGTTTCTAAAAAGTCACCCTAGTATCAGTAAGTATGCTTTTTTGATTCATTATCAAAATAACTTTCTATCATCCCTAAACTCCTACAAATTTAAGCACTTGAATGCGTTACATCCCTTGTCACTCTTTGCTTATTATTTTCTTGTCCACAAGTCTCTGTAGTGTTGTTTTTCCAAAACGTCTTTAGTCCCTTTATTGCCTCTACCTACCATCCTTTCAAAAAGCTTCCTCTCTTTAAGACATAATGTCCAAAATTTTAGAAGGATGGAAGACAAAATAAGGTTGCCTTATTTTGTATTTATTTGTAATTATTTGTAATTAACATTCTTCATGTAAGCTCCATGCCCTAAGGAACTACATCTCTTTTTCTTATAATGATCATCCTTAATATCTTGGCATGTGATAAATGCTTGAATATTTCCTGAGTAAAACCCATCTCATACCCCACTGATCCTGTGGGTTCACACCAGCTTGGTATACCACACAGGATTTAAGGGACAGTTCAGGCAGTCATCAAGAGCCTGTCCAAATTATAATTGATGGCTCTTTGCTTAGAACTATCTCTGCCATTTTTCAGATAGCTTTAAGTCTCATGTGCTATTCCTTACCACATTGCCTCTGGTTTAATTCTGAGCTTTCCTGGACTATCTTACTGCAAGAACTTCACAACATACCCGTCCCCCATTTTTCAGATCATTCATAAAAATGGCCAGTGGGTCTAACTCTGATTTGTTCAGGTACCATAACATGACAACTTCTGCTTACTTATCTATTAGTATCCACCTTTAATCTAGTCCGTTGCTCATTACATTACATTACAAAGGCAACAACAAAAATCATCTTTTCAATTTAAACAAGCTTTTTGGTATTTTCAAATATTTTCTCCATGGTTTAAATTATGTCCACAGTGTTATCAGCTTTTTATTTTTGGCTTTTCAGGGGGAGAAAAAAAAAGCTAGGATTTATACTCCTTTATAACAGTCTTGCTCTTTCATCTCTGCTCCACCAGTGTTAACATTTAATATTCTTATCCTTTATTCAACAAATTTGCTCATTAACAAGTGAAAATACACCTGTTGGTCCAAACACGGTATCTGAAGTCAAGTGAGCACTGTCCTGTCCTACACATACAAGGAATTTGGAATAGTGGTAGAGAGCAGATAGATAACTATTCACATGTGCTTTGTCTCTACGCCTAAACACCTAAACACTTAAGAAGAATGAAGACTGGGGAACTTAAATGTAAGTGTAAAGTAAGAAATGAAGGCAAATTCCAAATGATCACCAAAATAATTCAAGTGGAATCTAGTCTTGGGGCTGCTATAAACTGAAAAAACAAAGCAAATGAATTACACATGCACTCAGTGGTATGAAAAAATGAATAACCAGTTTCTTTTCTAAAGCACAATTCTCAATTATCAGGGTAAGCTAAAAATCCCACCACTTAAACTTGCTTTCAGTGCAGGGAGCGCTCAGCAAGTCAGCTGTTCGGCTGCTCCGGGTCACATGACTCAAGCGTTCCCTTTAGGAAGAGCCACTTCCCACGGGCACCAGAGTAAGCATCTGTACATTTTCAAAGTTGGGAGGCTCCCTTCCAAGGGCTGATGAAGCAGGCCTGGGAGGCAGGCAGCCACTCCATGAGCTCAAGCAAGGCGTGAGGTAATGTAGTTCTAGGTGACAGCTCTCTAACCAGTATGCCTGGGCTCAAAACTACATGCCATTCATTAAAGGTTCTGTGAACTTGCATAAATTATGTAAGTCTATTACCACATAACTGTACCTTCTTTGTATGGTTATTAGGAATAATTAACAAAATAACTTCTAATCTACATAAAATTCTTAACACAGAACCTAAAAACCTAGGTGACTATAAATACTATTTATCTCTACAAGCATCTGAGAATATAGGTAAAGACACAGACCATTAAAGTTGAAAGCAACCTGAATCCATTACTGTGTTCCAGAATAATTTACTCATGCAGTGACATTTACTGCTCTGTGCATTTCAGAGGTGTGTGGGTGGAGTGTTTTAAAAGTTATCCTAAAATATATTTAGGAAAACGGGTTTATATTTAGTGCTTATATAAAAGCTTTGAAAACATACTTGGGTCAGTTATGTTATCTGCTTTTTTTTTTTTTCTTCAATGTCTGGTCTTAAGTTTACATTGCTTCTTTAATTCTCAGCTTGTATTGACAATATTTTATTTTCTGTTGATGCTCTAGCATCTGGGGCCTTGATCCTGGAGAGACTGCCCCTCCAGGTAAGCTACTTCCTGGGAGACAGTAAATGACCCCCGTGAGCATGCCTTTGATATATGAACAACCAACTCAGAGCCCACACCCGTAACTCCTTTATCAAATTCTCACATACCACGCCTATTCCCCCCCTGTCCTCACCCCAGGGGGCCAGATGCCTGACAACTACCCCCCACCAAGCTAGAGTCCTCCAAAATTATTCACACTAACTAGTGCTAAACTTATTCAGCACACCTACTCTGCTTCCCCCATTTCCTTTCCACAAGGAACTCTAGTAAAAGCTCTGGGCCATGCTCTGCCCTCCTGACTGACCATCCCTGATGCCTCCCCATGAGACCCTACATGTCATGCTGACATACCCTGTTTCTAAAGACCTGTAACTATAAACTTCTTCCTTCATAACGATAACTTCCATGTCTGCATATCCTACCATACCTGATTAAAAGCAATCCTGGGTACATTTTTAGAATACGGGCACATTAAAAGGGCTCCAAGAATCAATAGTAAGCCTCTGCAAAAGAGTATTTTTCAATAACTTTGTCAGAAACTGGTTCCCATCACCAAAGGCAGGACAGAGGTAACTACATTGCATATAAACTCACAGTAGTAACAAATAATATTTCCATTTAATTTACACATAGTGACTTACAAGACTTCACCATGTGAAAGCATTTTCAAATAGAGTGCTTTGTTTGTGGTAGGTAAGGCACACATTAGTATTTTATAGCTGGGAAAATAGGTAAATAACATGCCTAATGTTACATACCCCTGGATTCAAACTATGATCTTCTGACCCCATGTCCTTGCAGCCTTGTCCCGTTTTCTTTCTACAATTTACCACACTATAGTAACTTTTGTTCTGAAAGTTTGGAAAAATTAAATGAATCTTGGTTGTTTCTTACACACACCACACACACAGTGAAATTGAGCTAAGACAGAAGAAAAGAGGATGACACTAGAAATTATAGTTAAGTCAAAGTTATTTTATTTCATTTTCCATTAATATTTCTAAAAAGTAACTTCTCCCAAGAATGAGCAGTCACTAATTGAGATTCACTGCAGAAACTGCATGATAATTAGAATTTTTAAATTAGTTTTATTACTTTCTAATTCTTAGAATGAATTAAATGAGCAATATATCTCCACTCTACCCCCTCATCCACTTCCAAGAAATAAAAGTGTAAAAAAGGGCAAACATCCCTCTTCCAGACCAAGGGGCCAAGCCTCACCCCTATACCTCTGTTTCTCAGGATTAACAGGCCCCTCCCCTGCTCTATCAAAGATGTCACTGTCAATAACATCCTCCTTTCTAAAACAAGAAAATATTTCTTCTTCTTCCTCTTCTGCTGCTGCTGCTTCTTCTATCTCTAAAGATTATCAATAGAATATACTTAGATCCAAGTAAGAAAAAGACTCCCCCAGTAGGATAAGGACTTGTATTTGGAGATTCAAACAGGCTTCCAGACAGAATTTTTTTTAATTTATTTTTTTTAATAAACATATAATGTATTTTTATCCCTAGTGGTACAGGTCTGTGAATCGCCAGGTTTACACATTTCACAGCACTCATCATAGCACATACCCTCCCCAAAGTCCATATCCCCACCACCCTCTCCCGTCCCCCCCCCCCCCCCCCACCCCCCCTCCGTTTTTTTAGATTTAGTCTTTTATGGTTTTTCTCCCCCCCAATCCCATCTTCTTTCATTTTTTCTTTTCCTCCCCCCCAACCCCCGCCACATTGCATCTCCACTTCCTCATATCAGGGAGATCATATGATAGTTGTCTTTCTCAGATTGACTTATTTCCCTAAGCATAATAACCTCCAGTTCCATCCACATCCCAGACAGAATTTTTTATCTAGCAATTATCAGCAACCTTCTCCATTCTGATTTTTCTGTGGAGGTGAAGCTTATACTGGTGCCTTGAATCACTACAAGAATCACTCTTGAGCTATCTTAAACCTCAAAGTGTTAAATCTATTTTTATGGTTCTTTAAAGTTAAAACATCTTGGAGAAGACCCAAGAGATGGTTTTTGTATTATGGCAAATTATGTATTAGAAATACTTCAATCCAATGAACCTCCAGCATATGTCCCAGTGGGGTCAAAATAGCTTCTTCCTTCACCAACTGCAAGCTGTTCTCCTAATCTACATTCACTGGATTAATAGAATGGGTTTGGATTTTAAATTTTCACTGCCATTTAAACAGGTGAATATTTAATGCCTGAGGAGCAAGGTTATGAAATGTCAAAACTACTAAGTGAAGGATCTAATTTAAGAGGCAGCCAGAGAGTCTGCAATTTAAATATTTAAAGATGATACAGGGAGTACAACACTGAACACCAAT